GGGGGGGGGGGCACTAAATCAGGACGATCTGAGACCGCCCACCAGACGGAACCCATCAGCGTTTTGTCGGATTTCGTGTCTATTTTTATGTTTTGGCCTAACAGTGGTAATGCGACGCACTAGCCTCGAAATAGGAAATATTCGACTCAATAAATATAAATTTTAGATTTCAAGCTTTCGTGGCTGCAAGGGATTCACAGCAAGAACATTTTCTTGCTGTGTTTTTCACACCTGATGATGATTGCTTGTGTTGCATTCGAGACGTCGTGAGAATTGTATTGTTTTGTATTTTTATTTTATTGTTTCCCTTCTGCGTGAATTTACCGAAATAACCAATAGCATCAATAAATATATATAAGCAATGCGTTGGAGTTAACAAGACTCTGCCCTAAAAATAAAAAAATACGTATGTTTTAGTAGGTGACGTCTTGGGAAATTCCCCTTCTTCATAACACGTGAATAAGAGAGGCCAAAGAGATTGAGTTTATAAGGGTTGGAGAGTGCACTTACCGCCTGATGAGAATTCACTTGAAAAACGTGTTTTGTGCTGGCCAGTTTTTAAATAGGCGGATGAATAGTTGCACCATCAGTACACTACATTCGACAAACACTTCAACAATCAAAAGGTATTCCAATGCAATATTAATTAATTTATATTAAAAGCTAACATGTTGTCCGCACATTGGGTATATCTTTTTTTGTTCTTTGAAGGCGACGGTGTTGTTGACGGACGTTTTGAGCTGTGTTGTTAGCTGTGCTTTTGCTTCACTTACGATGCAGCAGCGGTGGTGAGATGTTGACAACCTCGCCTGGTATACCGGAGGTCGTGGGTTCGATCCTGACCCAGATGCCTGCTGTATATTTGGAGTTTACGCGTCTCGCTTCCTCGTGGTCGCATGGATTTTTCTCGGGGTCTTCCGTTGTTTCACCTCCACTTTTATAATCGACATGAATTTAGCGTATTTCGATACTACAACTTTCCACACGATAAGTAACTTCATCGGGCTATCATTTGTGGCCAGGTCGCTTCTGAAAAAGAGCAATAATGTACAATTCAGTGGGCCTTACCTGGTAAAGTAAAAATAGTAGTTTCAAATCAGTGAAGTCAAGCAACAGTTAACGTGTCTCGCGTATGCATGCGGCATCAAGTTAGACTAAACTAAAACGAAACTAAGTTAATGTCGACCTGTTTCACCGCTCTAACGGGTATAAGGGGCGACTCACATCTCCGTTGGTAGCCTCCAACTCGCGGTGACAATTCCACATTCTCATGGCGGGTGCCGGCACCTACATATGTTTACCCCTTAAAGTGTTACTTGTTTTAATCGAACCCGGAAGGATTACGGGCTGCCTTGCCGAGTCGACTCTTCACTGGGGGTTGAACTTATAACTGTCTGTACATTTGTGAGCCGAGTCATCTCACACCGCGGCGCCACGCGGTTTACAACAACCACAAAAACGGTGCTCGTGAAACGCGAGGAGACGGAGCGATGGACATCAGCTCGTGTAGCGAGCGCCGGGCTGATCGTTAGTTACATCGCAGGATCGTGGGACAAGTGCTGCCTGCCGAGGCCTTCATCCACGTGGTGATGATAATGATGATGATGGTGACAATGACAGGGTTATTGGTGATTTTAATGATGGCGTTTCGCGGTGTATGTAAGTTGGACTTATTTCGCACCGTAAATATCCAACCGTGCTAATCGGAGATGCGGGGGGTGAGGGGGGGGGGGACACAAAAAACTAAACACAAAAAGCAGTTCTAAAGAAATTAGTTATCAAATGAAAAGGAGAAAGTCGCGTGGTGTCTAGTTAATGTAGCGGGAAACCCACCACCCTCTTGCCTACAAGCGCCGTATCCCATAGTACATTGTGTGGGTTACATCGCGTACACATAAAATGTGTCGTAAAGCTGCCTCCACCCGACACGGCCAATGAGCGAGGTTTGTCACGTGAACACACACGTGCCAATTAGTTACTGCTTCAGCACAGCGGTGTGTTGGAGAGCAAGACCGACGCCATTGCGCAATTTGAGTTGACGTTTCGCCGGTGATTGCAACCAGCTTCATCGGGCGGTGTGCCGCAATTGTGTGGAAGTCGTCCTGCAGCTGCATCCCAGCTGCACGTTTGTTTGACTGCTATAGATTGAAATTCGAGCTTGTCTCTTTCTAAGCATTTGTTTTAATAATACGTTTAGGATTGTGCACACAATTTCTCACCTTAGCTGTTAGTCAATTGACGTTTCATATTTTCCCCGTACACCTTTTTAGTCGTTGATGAGGGATATTTGTAGTCAGGATATAATGCTATCGCATCTATTATGCAGTAGTAAGGCACATTTACAAAAGCAAGGAGACTACCTTTAATCCTTATTGTGGAATGATCACGTGCCTAGACCCCTTTTGGAAGTCGTACGTCGCTTGTGCAGCAGCTGAGAAATCTTTTTTTAGAAGGAAGGAGGCGATGGCGTGGCTAATGATGGATAAGTTGAGGAGGTGAAGCGGCGAGGCTAATGATGGATTTCTCCCAAATGTTTGCGAAGATAACAACAATAAACACACAACACGTTCATGACTCCCGCGAGAGACGCCGTGATTATTATGTTTGCGTTGCAATTACGCGCCCAACCACTCGAATGACAGCTCATTAATATTCCTTAATCGACCACCGTTCAAGAGTATAGGTACAGTGGTATTACCAAATAGGCATTTCATAACTGAAATATCTTATCGGGAATAATCCCTCGAAATGGAACACCTGGTTTTCAAAGGCTGTCCAAGGTACGCGGCATTCAAGATATCCCCCGCACAACGTTAAATGTATCAAACACAATCTTTTGGGGTCCATTGCTGAGTGAGTGGCTGAGTGAGTGGGTGGCTGAGTGAGTGGGTGGCTGAGTGAGTGGGTGGCTGAGTGGGTGGGTGAGTGGGTGGCTGAGTGGGTGGGTGAGTGAGTGAGTGGCTGAGTGGGTGGCTGAGTGAGTGAGTGGGTGGCTGAGTGAGTGGGTGGGTGAGTGGGTGGCTGAGTGGGTGGCTGAGTGAGTGAGTGGGTGGCTGAGTGAGTGGGTGGGTGAGTGGGTGGCTGAGTGGGTGGGTGAGTGAGTGGCTGAGTGGGTGGCTGAGTGAGTGGGTGGCTAAGTGAGTGGGTGGCTGAGTGAGTGAGTGGGTGGCTGAGTGAGTGGGTGGCTGAGTGAGTGGGTGGGTGAGTGCGTGGGTGGCTGAGTGAGTGCCTGAGTGAGTGGGTGGCTGAGTGAGTGAGTGCCTGAGTGAGTGAGTGGCGGTTTCGCCCTGACAACGAACACTTCACATGCCGTGCGTACGATTTCACCACACACACATGAGTGTTACAACGTACGTAATGTACAATGCTTGCTCACATGTACAGACTAGATATATATGTATCTATTATACACCATAGTAGTGATTTCACTATGGGACGGTTTTTGCCGTTATCAATATGATAGCAGAAAAAGGGGTCCCATAGATGTACTGTGCCTGCTCAAATCCGAGCTTTCATGTCTTGATATGCGCATAGTCGTCGAACTACTGAGGCAGTTCATATTTCTCCTGCCTCAGCAGTTCGCCTGCTGTATTATTTCACCCGAAGACGATTGCTTGTGTTGCGATCGGAACGTCGTGATTTTTATTATTTTTCTATCTACGTGACTTTACCGAAAGACCCAAAGAGTATGAATTCCTGCAGTCACGAAAGCTTTAAGTCAAGATGTGCCTAGTCCTTGTACTGTTCGCTTTTTTGGCTTTGTTCTCTGCTCTAACACTGGTGAGACAAGGCAATGAAAGAAGCCCTCTGGTGTCGGCCGATGAGTTCCGAGGACAATGGGCAAATTAGTATACGAGCACGTTTGTTCGCGTGTTTTACCGCAAGTATTTCGTGTGGCTAATGCAGACTTGCTGATGTCCTGCACTGGGTGTGTCCAGTGCCGGATTAAGGCGCGGGGGCTTTAGGAGCCGCAGCCCAGGGGCCCTCCGCCAGCCGGAGGGCCTCCAGAGATTAAGTGAAAAAAAAAATTAATTCGTAATTTTTATTTAACTTTTTTTTTCCTTTTGAAAATATTACTGGGGGCCTCACAGTACCTGTAGCCCAGGGGCCTTACAAAAATCTTAATCCGGCCCTGTGTGTGTCTATTTGGAGTGATTTCGCTGCTGCACAAATGGGGATGGCTAGACCACACTTCACCACGCTGGTGAGTGCGTGTTGGTGAGGGCGGAGGATGACCTTGGATCGGTTCAGATACCACGCGCCACTGATGTCAGTGCCGTGGTTGGGAACCCAACTTAAATCACCGGTCTTGCAACTCACCGCGGCTTTCCCGCATAAAAATACAGGGTTGGTTCTCAGTGGGCTCGACATACGATGACAATCTTACGATTTTTATTGTCAGTCGAGGGCCAACTCAGCCTATCAGTCTTCTAAGGACGACACAATAATAACCACCTCATGGGAAGTCAACACTATTGACTGACTCGCCCTCGGTATAGGAACGCGGAATGGCCGCCACTGTCTCAGTACCCTCGGCCTAAATGAGTACCTTCCCGTCGTTGCGACCATCGTTATGAATCGTTGTGCCTGGAAACGACTCCGATTGTGAGAGAGCACGATGATTCTTCACATCTTCCTGTGCTTCCGTTGTTTGTGTTATTATTCTGACGCCAATGTCTCTCCGGTCTCTTCTCGTCTCCCGTCGACTCTCTTGTCTCCCTGTCTCCATCCACCGTCCGTCTCACCTGCCTTCATGTGCCACCCTATTTGTCGCTCATTACTGCATCTCTCTGTGTCTCTCTGTCCTCCCGTCTCCATCTTCTCTCCACGTTCACGTTACATCCTCCACGCCTCCGTGTCTCCCTCCGATGTTTCTCTTTCATCCTCCCTCCGCGTCTCCATCCTCGCCAATCCGCCGACTCGCATTTGTTGCTCCATCTTCATCGCCCCTCTGTCTCCCTCCTGGTTCCCTCCGCTCGGCACCCACCCTCCCCGACCAGACGGGAGCTCCCCGCTGAGTGCACTCCGCTACTGCATGCCGGCTCTCAAGATGGAGCACTACCTGAGCCTCAAGCAGGCGGCCGTGTCATCCCTACGGGACCACGACTCGTCCGAACCTCCTCCTCCTCCTCCTCCTCATCACCATCACCACCACCATCACCACCACCAACACCACAACCACCAAAACCAGCACCATCATCACCATCAGCAGCAGCAGCAGCAGCACGGCAGCAGCAAGGGCGAGACGAGCCCCGATTCGGTGGACATCAAGGCCGGAGGTGGTGGAGACATCGGCGGTGGAGGAGCAGGGGGAGGAGCAGGGGGAGGAGCAGGAGGAGGAGGGGGAGGGAAGGGCAAGAAGAGACGGAACCGCACCACCTTCACGAGCTTCCAGCTGGAGGAGCTGGAGAAGATCTTCCAGAAGACGCACTACCCCGACGTGTACGCGCGGGAGCAGCTCGCCCTGCGCACGGAGCTCACCGAGGCGCGAGTGCAGGCGAGTGCGTGATTGTGCACGTGTGTGTGTGTGACTGTGCGTGTGTGTGTGTGACTGTGCACGTGTGTGTGTGACTGTGCGTGTGTGTGCGTGACTGTGCGTGTTTGTGTGACTGTGCACGTGTGTGTGTGACTGTGCACGTGTGTGTGTGCGTGACTGTGCACGTGTGTGTGTGTGTGCGTGACTGTGCACGTGTGTGTGTGCGTGACTGTGCGTGTGTGTGTGCATGACTGTGGGTGTGTGTGTGTGCTTGACTGTGTCTGCGAGACTACCAGTGACTGTGCGTGTGTCTGTGTGTGCTTGGCTGTGAGTGGCTGTGCGAGTCAATGTGCGTATGTATTTGTGCGTGGGGAGCGGTGGCGCAGCGGTTAGCGCGCCGCGCTACGAACCCGGCGATCAGAGTTCGATTCCCGCTCACGGCCAGCACCAGTGACGATTATCTGAACCGATCATGGGCCCTCTCCTAGGTCGACTAAGCCTCAATTGAGTACCCAGTGAGATGTGTGTAAACATCGTCATCACTGGGGGAGACAAAGGCGGTCGGGCGTGGTACTGGCCACCCACACCCCCTCGCGTAGCGTTCCGGCCTTCAGCACTTGCGTGTCGCCCCTCCACTCCCTCCGTAGCCCTCCTCGTTGCGTCTTCGTCTCTTCTCACGACCAATCGATCGAACGCTCACCTCCCTCCCGTTGTCGCCTCCCCGACATGAGTCACCCCGTACCGACTCAGCATCTCGCCACCTTCTTCCCCTTCGAGGTGTTCCCTGCCGTCCACCACCATCGCGTTCTCATCATCTTTCAAAACGGTTACGCATCTTGATTGTGCATGCGTCTATGACGTCCGCCAAATTCACCAGCAACGTGACAAAGGTAACAGGCACCGATTTACTGATGATGGGACCTAGGAAGTTGATAACCGGTCCAGAATTTACCCGGGCAGTATTGGTCCGGAATTCCGACAGGGTTACGGAGTAAAACACACACTCTGAATGACGATAGTTGAGCCTGTTTACTAATCATTGCTTCCTTTACCTAATACTGTATGTATATATGCATATTCATACAATGTTTACACGTGCAGTATATGTCTGTGTGTCTCCGTGTCTGTGTTTTGTCTCTCTCTCTTAAATTTAGCAATCTTTGGAAGAACGTAATCAACCAGGTAGGGTGTTGACTGTTGTGCTAGCCGACTCCCTGTGTTGTATTGCGTTATATTTCCAAGTTTACTAGGTTTGTTTTCTCATTCATTTGTACCTGATGGTGGTTACTTGTGTTGCAATCGAAACGTCGTATTCTATTTTTATTTAATTTAATTTCTTTCTACGTGACTTTACCGAAAGAACCAAAGAGCAGCAATGAACTTGTTTGAATTACAAGGAGACTCGAATAATAATAATAAGAAGAGAAATGGGTCGCGGCTCGCACTGCCGAATGGAAACGCCGTTGTTGGTAGCGGTGCTAGAATCTGTAACAATAACCTCGTGCCCTCGTTGTTTGAATAGGTTGAGCGAAAAGTGCGCTGAGTAAACATGCAACGTTAGGTCTCAACGAATTTTACATTGGGCAGTCCGAGAAATTATTCATCCTGCTGCAGTCAAATTGACCCAACGTTGCGCGTTTGCTCGGTACGTCCTTCTAAACGCTTCAGCATATTCGCAAAAAAAAACAAGAAAGCAATTATGTACAGGTCCTTTGTATCTTGAGGAATACGTAGCATTTAGGACGTCGCAATTCAAATCTGTAAATTATGCGAGATAACACATCACGTTCGTAACATTGGTTGGAGGTCACACTTTGCCAACACTTTCTTTAAGTTGGTCGTCTAAATTCGAAAGTGACAAATTTCCGCGTATGCAGTTCTGCTGAGTTGGTGGTTTGCACAAGGCTGGGAGCTTTTGCACACGCAATGCACATCCTTGTGTGCTGGTAAATCTATTCAGGACGCAGTTATATTTATTGTTTGTGTGTGTGTGTTTTTTTTTAAAATAACATTCTAGTAAGGGTTAAGGCTCATTTAATTCTACGTTTTAAACATAACACACATATCACCGAAATATTTATTTATTTTGTTGAGGTAGTTTAAAACCGTGTTTATATATATACAGTATTAGAGTAGCAGACGGTAACATAAACGTTGCTCCGAGTACGTAAATATTATTTTAAATAATACATGGCAATTTTAATAAATACGAGTTTTAACTGTAAATCCAATTAACTGACTGTAAGCTGTCCACTCGCGATGCATTTGAGTTCGTGCTGTCACACTGACAGGCGATAATGTTTGAGCACTTACCCGTCAACTATAAAATTACACTTTCTCATTCATGCTGAATGAACAATTATTGAAATACGATAATAAAAAAACGATATATACAGTATATTGAAATACGGTATATGTTTTAAATATCGTACAGCGTTTTAGAATAATATCTGCCATTGACAATTTACACAGAATAGCTTACAAAACGTGTAATCCTTGTTGTCATGATGTTATCGAAATTTCGGATGAATGCCTCCTCGTGTCATCGCCATGCTCTGTGTCTGCTCATACTGTCACCAGTCTCATACATGCACACATCTTGCCCAAGTCGACTCACCTTCCTTAACAGTCAACATCTCTCCGTGGAAATGAGCTCAAGCCTCCCGCACATCACGTGACTTCTGTGTGATCACCCCCCACGTTGCTCCACCGTGTAGCAGCAGCAGCGTCTATGCCCTGATGTAACATCATCCTCCCTGTCCTCTGCTTTCCTGGCCATTTCCTTACGTGTCTCCATTCCTTGTCCATCCTTGTTCCCCTATTCACCATTCTTTAGCTTCTCTCTTCCATTTTGACTTAAAACTTTCGCGACCGCGGGAATTCATATTCTTGGTTCTTTCGGTAAAGTCACGTCGATAGAAACTGACAATAAAAATCATGAAATCAAATGAAAAATAAAAATGATAAATGAAATTGATTATTTTGTTTTTTTTTATTATTTTTAATTTTATTTTATGATTTTTTTTTTAATTTTCAGTTTCTATCGACGTGACTTTACCGAAAGAACCAAGAATATGTTCTTCTCTCTTACCTTTCCAAATTTTTTTTTCTCCCCGGTGCATCACCTTCTTGACTCTGCTTCCCCTTCCCACGGTGCCGTCAAGGCTGCTACAACAGTTGACAGTGATTTCACGAATTTGTTTGATTGTTTCCGGAGACGCGCCTTCATCTTCCGCCGCTCGGTGTCATTGCCAGCGCGCATCTCTCCATCCTCCTCTGCGCACGTTTTCATCTTTTGTCCCACTGTCTTCATGTCGGTGTCCGGCAGGCAATGAACGCGCTCTGATTGTCATCGACTTTCTTCTCTCGGCTCAGTGTTGCTTCTCACGTGCAAGTGCAGTTTCCCTAAAAGCACTCCATGCTGCCCCTGAGCGCACGAGTTCACCGGGTGGTGGTGGATACGGACGTAGCCTCTAGTCCAGCACGGTGGAAGCAGCCGAGGGTTGCTGGATCATCGCACAGATGTCGGGAATCTCCCTTCCCCGTGGGCGTCGAGGTATCATAGCTTGGGCTTGCCTCGGAGAAGGCGTTGCAGCCATCAGGGACTCCTCCATCTGCTCCACCTGTATGGGAAGGAGTGTAGCCCCCTTGCATAGAGGACCGCAGATCTTGGACAATTGTTGGTGCCGGCTCGCCTCCTGCCCACCGCATTCCCGCTCGTCTCTGTCTCTCTTCTCTCTCTCTTCGAGAGTGAATGAAGACTGTGCACAACGTACCCACCTTAACACGGTTGGCTACATGCGGTGCGAAGGAAGTGCAACGTACATACATACACACTTAAATAATGCCGATTATAATCTGTCGTGGTTTCCAGTGGCATCTCTCCATTTGTTTGACATTGTATATTATGCATGTACTGTGTATAAATACGTGCAATCTATTTCCTGCAAAATATCTAAGCAATATCGTCTGGCTAAATAAAGTAAATCAAGACATTATTTTAATAAAAATGTAACATCTTTCGTTGAATTTGTTTGAATGTAGAATGCATATGCGTAGGGTTATGGTTATTGTATAGATTATTTAATAGATTATTTTACATGACCATAACTATATTTGTGCACAGTTGGCATAAATAAACTAGTTCAACATAACATACATCAAATATCCCCCGTATAGCCTGAACAGACCGTGGGAGCAAGTGCTGTTAGCGAGCACCTGTGGGTGGGTGGGTGGTAAGCACCACGCCCGGCCACCTTTGTCTCCCCGATGGCGATGTTTACAAATTGCACCAGGCACTCGTTTGAGTATTGAAGGTACACGTGTTACTCATAGCTGTAGACAAGTATTACTAATGCAACACGACTGTGAGCTTCACGTCGTGTTGCACAATGCATTTAGATTTCACTCTTCTCATATTTTTGTCAACTTCGCAAATTTAGAAATGTCGTGCACGTTACTTAACATCAACTGAAGTTACACAGTTGAAACGAGTCACATGCAAGGTTTGTTGTGTGTGTGTATGATTAGCAATTGCAGAATGGGCCACTACACTGCAATACAACCCTGCCAATCCACAAGTGTCATCCAAACCGGTAGCGGGTCTCTCTCTCTCTCTCTCCTACATCGACTCTGCCAGCCGTTAATGAGCAGCTGGTGCAGTGTGTAAACACCAGAGACAAATCTGGCTGGGTTTGGGTGCTGGCGACACCATCCCTTCGTGTGTTCCATACCGATCTTTAACAGGTCCTCCTCGCGTAACTGCACTCCCAACACCAGCCTGCTCTGGCTAAATAGGAGACCTTTGTGCGTGAGTACGCTTGCGAGTTTATGGATAGCGCTGCGTGTACATGCTGGCTTGGACTGCTGTTGATATTCATATGAATTAAGGACGGGACGCAGAGCACTTCAACGGGAGTCGCCGTCCGGCGGGTATCCATTTCGGCAACAGTCGGACGACAAATCCCCCCCCAGGGTGTGCCCTCGACGTTACACCTGCACCCGGCGCAGGGAGCCCAACTTGTACGCGCGTAGGTCTGTAGGTCTCAGACTCTGGAAGTTCACAAGCGCGTGGCGTTTCGCTCATTCGTTGTGCGAATGAGCGAAGGGCGCCCCTGAAAACGAGGCAGCAGGCGGGAGGCTCCTTCGAATGACGCAAAATGATTGGTGGAAATTTTTGCCCCAAGAAAGGCGAACATTGCCACATTCGAGTAATGAGACCGCGCTGTTGTGCCCCATATCGATGTTATCTTCTATCTTATATAGATGTTATGTCGCGCCTTAGCCCAAGGCGCTTGGCACTCATCATAGAGTAGCACTTTAGCTGACGGTGGCTGAAGTGAAGAGTTGGGTTACTAAAAGTGGTGGTGTATTTACGGTGGAAGCTTCCTGGCAAATCGCCTGAAGAGGCAGGTTGTAATCGCCAGCGAAACGTCGTGCTCAAATTGTTAATGTTGTGGGTTTACTCTCCAACACACCGGCGTGCTGAAGCAGTAACTATTTGGCATGTTTCATTTACATTAAAAAATATTACTAATTGGCTGTGTCGGCTGGTGGTGGGTTAACGACACATTTATATTTAACCGATCCTACCTACCCCCCCCCCCCAAAAAAAAAAAAAAAACGTTATTGTGGATAATATTGGTCGTGTTAAACTTATGGTGCCAGTCTGCACGGGTGAGAGTCATACCCCATTCAGTACTTTACGGAACAGTACAACTTCGCACACGCAGCTGGCTTGGTGAGTGAGGTGTAGGCGGGTTTGTGACAAGGTCGGATATGCGAACGTCTCTAGAAGTTGGCAGTGCTGCACCGCTCACAAATGCATTCCTCTGTGTGGGCGGCTACTTAGTCCGGGTGGATACACGCGACGGTCTGCCATGCTACGTTTTACCGTACACATTTATCTATTTATCCAAACGGAATATTCGCCTGAATAGCCAGGGTGGAGGAGTTGAGATCGCTCACTCGCAACTCTACTATCACTCAGTCGCGCACTCAGTCACTCACCCGGTCACCCGCTCGCTCTTCGTACAAACACAAGTGAATGGCAGAGTAACTCAGTCGGCTGTTGGTACAAGTGCTGTAAGGTGAGATCGCTATTCAGGTCGGTTTGGTACAAATGTCGTTTTGCAATCGGTTCATTGAAGTCCAAGTGTAAGGGCTCATCGGACAAGCGATTAAGTGAGCCTACTCACACATACGAATACATTGTGTGGAAGACCGTTTAGGAATATTATTATACCTATTTGGAAAAAAAACAGCTCTCTCTCCCCCGATGTGGCATCGGGTTGCACCCCGTGTTGTCCAGCATTATGTCCGACGTTTCGCTCCACGTGCTGGGAGCTTCTTCAGGAACTGAATGCACAATCCGAGAGAGCGGAGCAGCACAACCGCGGAATCCTACCCCGTGATGCGTAGACGTACTCCACTCTGAAGACACACACTGATGGCAAGTGTGTGATACGCGCAGTGCTTCATTTCAGTCGGAGCAGACCTCCGGAAAGCTGCTCTGCGAATGATTTCGGCACCCAGCCACATCCATAGTACTCGCAATACCACGGTGGTGTGTGTGGCTAGTGTGGGTGGTTGTGTGTACAGTGGGGAACGGTAGTGTAGTGGTTAGCTCGCTGTGCTACGAACCTGGCGACCAAGGCTTGATTCCTACTCACGACCAACACCAGTGACGATTGTTTGAACTGGTCCTGGGCATCCTCTAGGTCGACTCAGCCTCAAATGAGTACCTAGTGTGGTGTGTGAACATTGCCACTAGGAAGACAAAGGCGGCCGGGTATGGTGCTGGCCACCCACCCCCTCATATTCCATGCCGGCCTTCAAAGTAGCACTTGCCCCACAAGTCGGTAAAGGCCATAGGGGGGATCTTTGTCTTTGGTGGTGTGTGTAGTGGTGCGCACAGTAGTGACATACAAACACATGTGTGTGAATATGAATTACGGTTGCTAGATGCCCTGAAGGGGAGTACTAGGATATGTATCGATAGGTGTACTTTGCACTCAATTATTGGTGCCTTATGCCAATAATTATTAATAATTTAATGCTTCCAAGCAACGTTGCAAGAAAAAATCTCGAGAGAGAGAGAGACGCATCCCTGAGTGCATGGAATAGGAATGTGAATTTGAAGCAAATTGTTGCATCATCATCATCATCATGACCAACAGCAGCCATGTCCAATCCTCTGCTGGATGAATGATCAGTTTTTGTTTTCTTCCCCGTATGTTGGTGGACACAGGTGTGGTTCCAGAACAGGCGAGCCAAGTGGCGCAAGCGGGAGAGGTTCGGGCAGATGCAGCAGGTGAGGAGCCACCTGGCGGCCGCCTGCGCCTTGCCACTGCTTCCCCAGCCCGACACCTACCCACAGGTGTGTGTACATCCAGCACCCACAGGTGTGTGTACACAGCACCCACAGGTGTATGTACATACAACACCCACAGGTGTGTGTACACAGCACCCACAGGTGTGTACATCCAGCACCCACAGGTGTGTGTACATCCAGCACCCACAGGTGTGTGTGCATCCAGCACCCACAGGTGTGTGTACATACAACACCCACAGGTGTGTGTACACAGCACCCACAGGTGTATGTACATACAACACCCACAGGTGTGTGTACACAGCACCCACAGGTGTGTACATCCAGCACCCACAGGTGTGTGTGCATCCAGCACCCACAGGTGTGTGTACACAGCACCCACAGGTGTGTGTACATCCAGCACCCACAGGTGTGTGTACATACAACACCCACAGGTGTATGTACATACAACACCCACAGGTGTGTGTACACAGCACCCACAGGTGTGTGTACACAGCACCCACAGGTGTGTGTACATCCAGCACCCACAGGTGTGTGTACACAGCACCCACAGGTGTGTGTACATCCAGCACCCACAGGTGTGTACATCCAGCACCCACAGGTGTGTGTACATCCAGCACCCACAGGTGTGTGTACATCCAGCACCCACAGGTGTGTACACAGCACCCACAGGTGTGTGTACACAGCACCCACAGGTGTGTGTACATCCAGCACCCACAGGTGTGTACACAGCACCCACAAGTGTGTGTACACAGCACCCACAGGTGTGTGTACATCCAGCACCCACAGGTGTGTACACAGCACCCACAGGTGTGGGTACACAGCACCCACAGGTGTGTACACAGCACCCACAGGTGTGTGTACACAGAACCCACAGGTGTGTACATCCAGCACCCACAGGTGTGTGTACATCCAGCACCCACAGGTGTGTACATCCTGTACGCACAGGTATGTGTACACAGCACCCACAGGTGTGTACATACAGCACCCACAGGTGTGTGTACATCCAGCACCCACAGGTGTGTGTACATCCAGCACCCACAGGTGTGTGTACATCCAGCACCCACAGGTGTGTGTACACAGCACCCACAGGTGTGTACATCCAGCACCCACAGGTGTGTGTACACAGTACCCACAGGTGTGTACATCCAGCACCCACAGGTATGTGTACACAGCACCCACAGGTGTGTGTACACAGCACCCACAGGTGTGTACATCCAGCACCCACAGGTGTGTGTACACAGCACCCACAGGTGTGTGTACACAGAACCCACAGGTGTGTGTACATCCAGCACCCACAGGTGTGTGTACACAGAACCCACAGGTGTGTGTACATCCAGCACCCAGAGGTGTGTGTACATCCACAGGTGTGTGTACACAGCACCCACAGGTGTGTGTACACAGCACCCACAGGTGTGTGTACATCCAGCACCCACAGGTGTGCACACCCAGCACCCACAGGTGTGTGTACACAGCACCCACAGGTGTGTGTACACAGCACCCACAGGTGTGTACACAGCACCCACAAGTGTGTGTACATCCAGCACCCACAGGTGTGTACATCCAGCACCCACAGGTGTGTGTACACAGCACCCACAGGTGTGTGTACACAGCACCCACAGGTGTGTACACAGCACCCACAAGTGTGTGTACATCCAGCACCCACAGGTGTGTACATCCAGCACCCACAGGTGTGTGTACACAGCACCCACAGGTGTGTGTACACAGCACCCACAGGTGTGTGTACACAGCACCCACAGGTGTGTACACAGCACCCACAAGTGTGTGTACACAGCACCCACAGGTGTGTGTACACAGCACCCACAGGTGTGTGCACCCACAGGTGTGTGCACCCAGTACCCAGCAGCCACAGATGCGTGCACCCAGCCCGTATGCGTGTAAGGTTCTTTTATATACATACACACACAATGATGTGCACTATCTCAACATTATCGTCAACTTTGGTCCACCCACTGCTGGATAGTGGCCTCCTCACACCGCCGTTATTGTTCACGGTTGTGCCATCCCACAGTTCTCCTCGCTCCCTGCACGTGAGCGGAGCTCATCGCTCCGTCTCCGCAGTGGTCGGCCATGCCGGGATTGTTGTCTCCTGTAGGTGACCGTGCGGTTATCAATCCGCCCGTCACCAGTCTCGTCCAGCGACAAACGTCCCTTTCTTGCGATGCGTTCTGCCCCAGGCCCACTTCCTTTCCCTTGACGTCGTTGTGATGTCTCTAAGTTGTGTTTCTTCTCCGATCCACGTGCTCGCTCCTCTTTCTCTCAGTGTAAGTCTGCATTGAGAGAGGTGCACAAGCACAATAAACGAAAATGAAACACGAAGCATCTGTTATTTTACGTGCTGTGAAGAAGGGCCATTGCCCAAAACGCCGGATGTTCCAAATGTTCCTGCTAAGGCCACGGTGTTATCGAGGAATGTGTTGAGTTACGCAACATATGTTTACGTATAAAGTGCAGCATTCCTGGGGGGGGGGGGGGGGGGGGCACTTGAAGGATTTTCAGAAGTAGTTCTGCAACATCTCCTTCAGTGGGCCATTCTCGAACACGGGGTTGGCGCGCCACTGTGCGAGAGTTGCGACCGGACTCTTTGCTTCGTGACGCGATTCCAGGATTCCGCAGCTGGAATAAAATTGAACAACAACAACAAAAAACCGACTTGTGAAATGCGACAATGAGAAAAAGGATGGAGAGCGATGTTGAGGAGGGCTGGCATCAATAGCCTGGTCACGTGGCTCGTCTTGCCTCACAGCAAGAAGCTCTTGGGTTCGATTCCCTCTCTTTGTGTGCAGTTCGTATGATGTCCTGCCACTGTTCTGCACGGATTTCCTCCGGGTTTTTCAGTTTCCTCCCATCGTTAAACAAAAGAAAAACCCACCCATATAATGTACTTGGCATTAGCCAAACCATCCCAATGCCTCAAAATTACTTGCAAACTGCTCAGTTGGGATTACACACAGCAGCAGCAGCAGCAACATCACCCACCATTGCAAAAAAACTTGACATTGCCCTCTTGAAAAAAGAGCCTCGAGACTCATTGAGCGCATTTCTCTGTAAATAAGCGTCATTAAAAACAATAATTGACCGCGATCGATGACCTCACCACTGTGACCATTCACAAACGCTACTCCCCCCTCCCCACGCTCTCCCCACGCTACCAAATGTCTCTGCAGCACGCTGATGCTGCAGCGCGCAGAGGCAGCGGGTTTTAATTGCGCTGATTTGACAGCGCCCGATTGCGTGTACTTTGGTAAGTGCATTACGAATACAGCGCAGCTTCAGGATGTGTTGCATTTGCTGCCAACGGGAGGCACCACGGGAGGGTTCCGAAATAGCCCCCCCGCTGACGATGCGCACGGTGGCAGGCGGACGCAGCGGTGATAATTGACGAATTTTTATTTTATTTTTTAAGCGACACAGAATCTGCACCGAGAGCGATAAAACGATACGTTGGTTGGGGGGGGGGGGGTTGGGTGGGGGGGGCTTGAGAGACACGGAGCCCCTCCCCCACCCCCTCACCCCACCCCCGTGTGGAATTATCCTGTGAGACGGTTGCGCATTCAATTATATCCGTTACGTGAGGCCGCCTTGCGAGGCTAAACGCCCACCGCGACGGCGTGAGATTGAGCATCGGCCGACGGACGGCGATTCATGTCCGTGCGCGTGTAACGCAACGGGGTACATCGAGTCGCCTTATAGGCTGCGCCAGCGGTGATGTCAGCAAGCGCCTATTGAACTCGGCACGGCACGTAAGGTGGGTGGAGGTGTGTGGTCAGCACCACGTCCGGACGTCTTGGTCTCAGCTAGGGCTGAACGATTAATAATCGATTTCAAATCGAAATCGCAATTTGGAACAGCGCGATTGGCAAATCGCAAAGGCTGTGATTTTTTTGCCGTTTGAAAAGTCCGATTACTTTCTTATTGGAATTGTTTTAGTATTTATTATTATAAAAAAACTTTATTTATTGAACTTAACAATTGTTCTATGTTCTATTTCAATTAAAACATTTTAATGAATACATGTTGGAAGCAATTCACATCTTTTAAGTTCTCATCCTTGCATTAGAATATATAGAGCAGTTCATACTATTTTGATGGCATCATGTGGTAATGCTCTATAACATGTTTTAAACCTATTACACAGTGAATATTGAACTGAAGCTTGACTTAAAAAAATTAAATCGCAAATCAAATCGCAATATCTGTCAGAAAAATCGCAATTAGATATTTTGCCCAAATCGTTCAGCCCTAGTCTCAGCAGTGCTGATGTTTAGGTCCTATTCAATTTATGCGGAGTCAACCTAGGGGAAGCCCAGGACCAGTTCAGATGTTGATATTTTATGTCAGCCGAGAGTATGAATGGAACTACGGTCACCAGATTCGTAGCGAAGTGTATTAAACCAAAGCACTTCCGCTCCTCACAAAAAAAGACAAAACCCCCCCATGTAGCCTTTACAGACTGTTGGGGCAAGTGCTGTTATCGAGCACCTACGAAAGCCGGAACTGCACACGAGGGGGCGGGTATCCAGCACCACACCCGGCAGCCTTTGTCTCCCCAGTGGAAATATTTCCACATTGCACAACGTACTCATTTGAGGCTGAGTCGACCTTGGCGAACTCCAGGACCGATTCACAGATATTGGGCAATGGTGTTGGCCGCGAGCAGGAGTCGAACTCGGGTGACTGGGATCCTAGGCGCGCTAAACGCTACTCGACCCCTCCCCACACACATACAGATACACACACACACACACACGAACGTATACCCACGTACACACATGCACATCACGCCCTGAGTTCGCTGGCATTTTGCGCTGACGTGAGCACCACGTCCTTTGTTTATATAAATCTATCCCCTCGTTTAAAAGCCCTGGCGACAGACCTGCATTTGTGGTCAGGCAATTAAGCGTTTTGAGTTAAATGCAGCCCCCCTGCTGACGAACGGCAAGGGACGCATTACGGGTCGTGAGTTACACGGGTGTGGACACTGGGAATGTGTCGGCGTCGCATGCTCGGCGTGTATGGAAAGCCTC